ACAGCCAAACCTTATCAGTCTCTGTCACCCAGGCTGGAATGCAGTGTCATGGCTCCCAGTAGTCTCAACCTCCCCAGGCTCAGGTGATCCTCCCACTTCAGCCTCCTGGAACTACAGATACAGCTAACTAGGGCTACAGACGCATGCCACCACCCCCAGCAAAGGAATAGCTGTCAAAGAATCAGTTTCCAGATTCTCATATGTTCTCACTCTAAAACTGACCTGAGAGCATTTCTGCTGCCCAGGAGTGCTCAAGAATCCTGCATTAACTTTTTCTCTTTCCCCTTTCATATTTATCCTGCTCCTTCTACACACGCACACACACACACACGCAGGCATGCACACACACAGTCTACCTCTCCCTACATTGAATTTTACTATGGTATATTGTCCCCAAGTCCAAAAACTCCAAAGGCATTACACAAAAGAATAATTTTAAATGCTGGAGTTAAGTGTTGAGAAAATGAATAACCCCACAGTCTGGGGGATAAATACTTCCACAATTCCAATAGCTTTTAATTCCTTGCTTAAAAAATATTACAGCAAGACCTAATTGAGCTGTCATCTCATAGATCATTAATAATAAATTTTATGGCAAATTGCCATGTGATTTTTGGCATACAGCTCAGGAGGAGCTTAAATAATTGAGTGGCATTAGTGTAACAAAACTCTTTTCATGTCTATCGATTTATTCATTTGTGAACAAGGTTTCTTAGCATTTACATCTATAAAAATGAATAGTAAGAACAGAATTAATGCTGATCTCTGTATCATTAGAACAATAAGTAATTTATTCCTTTTGAACAGCCTTTTTTAAGAAGCTCTATCAATCTTACTAAGCAATGTAGTCTAATAAAATGTTACATTTATGCTCAATAATTATTTCTTGGCCAGGCACAGGGGCTCACTCCTGTAATCCCAGCACTTTGGGAGGCTGAGGCGGGTGGATTACTTGAGGCCAGGAGTTCAAGACCAGCTTGGTCAACATAGCAAGACCGGGTCTCCACTAAAAATACAAAAATTACCCTGATGTGGTGGCGCATACCTGTAATCCCAGCTACTCGGGAGGCTGAGGCAGAGAATCACTTGAACCTGGGAGTTGGAGGCTGCAGTGAGCCAAGATGGCACCATTGCACTCCAGCCTGGGTGACAGAGTGAGACTGTATCTCAAAAAAAATTTTTTCCTCATATTTCTAATAAATTTTTGTTATGTGGATCAATTATATTAATAACAATTGAATTTTAAATCCAATCCATAAGAATTTCTTTAGGCACTAAAAATCTATGGTGCCAGAAAACCTATATACTTTCTCCAATGTGTGTGTGTGTGTGTGTGTGTGTGTGTGTGTGTGTGTGTATGTTTGCTTGTAGGGAATCATAACAGAATGATCAATAAAAGTCCTTGAAGCATAAATATAAATTTCATTAGAGTAAGACTCTGTATGGAAATTGTTTAAAATAGTAACTTCAAAGACAAAAAGGGACCATGTAAAATTGTAAAGAATTTTTAATACATTTTAAATGAATAATAATGGGTTTGAACTCACTGGATATGGTATTTTTAAACATGGAACTTTTTAATTTTAAAACATCACTATTTATAATATGCCAGAAGTAATAATCTTTGCAAAGATTTGAGCCTATAAAGAAAAGTTTTGAATGTCAACCTCAAAATGGGTAAAGGGGGCCAGGCTTGGTGGTTCATGCCTATAATCCCAGCACATTGAGAAGCCAAGGCAGGCAAATCACTTGAACTCAGGAGTTCAAAACCAACCTGGGTAACATGGTGAAACCTCATCTCTGCAAAAAATATAAAAACTAGCTGGGTGTATGGTACATGCCTCTATTCCCAGATACTCAAGAGACTGAGGTGGGAGGATAGCTTGAGCCTTGGAGTAGCAGTGAGCCTAAATAGCACCACTGCACTCCATCCTGGGCAACAGAGCCAAACCTTGTCTCAAAATTTAAATTTAAAAAAAGGGTAGGGGGAATTCATGTGTTATGAACTAAATGTGTGTGTCCCCCCAAATCTATATGTTGAAATCCTAATCCCCAATATGATGGTATTAGGAGGTAGGTCTTTGGGGACATAATTAGGCCACGAGAGTGAAGTCCCCAGGAATGGAATTAGTATCCTTATAAAAGGGACTCCAGAGAGCTCTCTAGTTCTTCCAATGAGAAGTTTGGGGTCTGCAACCCAGAAGAGGGTCCTCACCAGAACCTGACATGCTGGCTCCCCGATCTCAGAGTCCCAGCCTCCAGAACAGGGAGAAATCAATTTCTGTTGTTTCTAAGCCACCCAGTCTAGGTATTCTGTTATAGACCCCTGACTAAGGCATGGCCTTTCTAAATAAGTTTGGGGTGATTTGCAAGCAAAAAGCTGGGCCATTCACTTAGTCACCAGTCCCCTCCTTGGAACATGCTCTGGTTTCAAGAGCTATTCGACAGACATATTTGTTGAATTTCCTTCCAGCAGCATTGTCCCTTCAACTAGACTTGAGACAAACAGTCGTATACTTTTCATGTCTTGTTTTCCGAAATATGGAATCAAATTGAGCCCCGAATCTAATGCCTCTTGATCCACCCTCTTAAAATCCATGTATGAAGGTCTGAGTTGAAACCTCACACCTGTGGTTATTACATGTGCACCACAGGCACTTGCTAAGCCTCTGGAGGTCTCCGTTTTCTCATGTGAAACACAGATAAGGCCACGCACCTATTGTGTCTTTTACAAGGCTCTCGTAAAATGCCTTTCCTCCTACTTTTAACTCTGATTTTCAAGTATGACCTTGCAGCCTATTCACCTTGTTCTGATGTCACAAAGCCTCAAAAACAAGTAATAAAAACCACTTCGTGGAAAAAACAATGATCCCTAAAACAAGTGAATGTATCCCCCTTTTGTTGCACAATTAGCCAAATATGGCCTAAAATTCCTTCGCAAAACCCACGAAGACAAGTTAGCTGTGCCCCCCCACCCAAATTTCATCCTGAATTGTAGCTTCCATAATTCCCACATGTCATGGGAGGGACTCAGTGGGAGATAACTGAATCATGGGGGAGGGTCTTTCCTGTGCTGTGATAGTGAATAAGTCTTACAAGAGCTGATGGTTTTATAAAGGGCATTTCCCCTGCACAAATTCTCTCTTGTTTACCACCATGTAAGCTGTCCCTTGCTCTTCCGCCATGATTGTGAGACCTCCCCAGCCATGTGCAACTGAGCCAATGAAACCTCCTTCCTTTATAAATTACCTAGACTTGGGTATATCTTCATTAGCGGCGTAAGAACAGACCAATACCCCCACCATCTCTAAGCTACCACCCATTGATCTGTAAGCCTACTTTCCCTTTGATGTGTTTGATTATTGAGTATGAAGTATTTTAACCATTAAACTTTGAATGATACCACCCTCCAGGGGAGGTAGAGCTTCACACACAGGGTCCTTTACCAGAAGGAAGGAAAATAACACCTTTACCCTGCATCCTGGGGAAATGTGTAGGCTCCTGAACTGAAAACAGAACTGAATCCATCAAGAGCTCAGACCAAAATGTGGGATGAAGGCAAGAGCATCAGCCAGGAAGAGGTCACACATCAGCTTGGTGATAGTGATAGTGACATTTATTCATCCACCTAATGTTCCACTACTCCTGACCTCACTCCAGAAACAACGAACTGCATTGATCTCCAACACAGCACACATTGTTATGCTCCTGTGCAATTTCTTACATGGCTCACTCTGCTCAGAACCCCTTAAGCTGGCTAACTCCTACTGGGCTTTCAAGACTCAGCCTGTGTCGCTTCTCCCAGGAAGACAGTGGTACATACTCTTCTTCCTTCTCATTGCCTCATAGCACCTGGCACATAACTTCATTACATTCATGTGGTTCCTTTAGATTCCTAATGGCAGAAACACAACACAAAATGACCTAAATCGAAGAGAAAGTCCAGGGAGTGGATCTAACTTCAGGCACAGCTGGAAACAAGAACACAGATGATTTCAGCAGGAGCCTCTTCCCACTCTTAGCTCTGCTTTCCTCTGGGCTGGTATCACTCTCAGGCACCTCTCCCATGCCACAGCAAGGGTACTGCCAGCAGCAGTTCCAGGATTCCATCTTTCCCGCTCGCCCACCCCAGATGAAGATGCCTGTCTTTTGTGATGGTCCTAGATGGTCAGCCAAATACTGACACTCATCAGCTTAAATTATGTTCTCATCCTGGAACAATTACTTTTTTTTTTTTTTTTTGAGCCAGAGTTTCGCTCTTGTTGCCCAGGCTGGAATACAATGATGCAATCTCGGGTCACTGCAACCTCCACCTCCCAGGTTCAAGCAATTCTCCTGCCTCAGCCTCCTGAGTAGCTGAGATTACAGTTATGTGTCACCACGCCCGGCTAGTTTTTTTGTATTTCTAATAGAGATGGAGTTTCTCTATGTTGGTCAGACTGGTTTTGAAGTCCCAACCTCAGATGATCACCCACCTTAGCCTCTCAAAGTGCTGGGATTACAGGTGTGAACCACCACGCCAGCCTCCTAGAACAAGTACTGCACCAGGAGGCAAAATGTTTTGACTAGCCACAACTAAGTCATATGCCAACCCTTTGATCTAAACAGCAGGGCCAGCCAACATCCAAGCTACGTGATCTGAAAGTTGGTGTATGTGGGGCCCCAAAGGAAAATAGGGTCTTAAAACCTGAAAAGGAGGCATAGATGGCAGGAAATCAAAAAAGCAAAAGCTCAAACACCAGGTGCACAAAAGCCCATCATCCTACTAACCACAACCTACTCACCATTGGTGTGCACGCCCCTCCCCACCATTGGAAAGTGCTTCCCAAGGATGGAAGCTGTGTCTTGGTCATGCTTCCCCAGGGCCTAGGAGAGGGCCTGGCATAACACAGGTATGAAGTAGAGATTTGTGGAATAAACAAGATGCCTTCCGTTCAACAGTCTTTGAATTGTACTATAAACAAGAAAATAGAAAATAGAACTGGAACTCAAATACCAACCTGGGCAATGTCACAGATCAAAATTCTCAAAGGGCAGAAATGAGTCTTCCTGGAACCTTCCTGAAAAAAAGAAAAGACTGACCAGTGAGTCCTAATCCCAAATTAGATACGGCCTACAGACCTACAGACCCTAACTCTTCCCCCATCCACTAAGGTCCCTTTCCAGGGCACGCTCTCCTTTGAACAAGTTCAGCTCATCAGGTATGTGCCAGGAGGAGATGCCTTTCCTCCAGGAAGTGTTTTCCTACCTTTGAAGACCCCAATTAACTCCAGTGTGAATTCTTGCTAGCGCCTCTACTTCATGGTGGAAAAGTTTTAGGGTGCTGCATCTTGTACCATGGCAGGTTTCCGTTAACTGCAGAACAAACTGCTCTCAATAGCTGTTTAATAACAGTCACCTGATTGGTTTTTGATGCGTTGGGGTAATCCACTTGACCCTCCAAAGCCAGGAAGGTCACCATTTTGGAGAAACAGGGGAGAAGAGTATTCGTGCCGAAATAGTATCCCTGGTGATTGTCAGGAAAACAAAAGAAATATATATGCACGTTTAGAATAAATTATTTTTATAATTGTAGACCTGTCCAAAATATGGCCCAGACCTTATAACTAAGGATGGAGAAGTGTGGTGGATTTAAATAGCTTCCTTTTGGAAATGCTATTTAAATTAGCTTAAGTCACAGAGGAACATGATGGCTCTTTATCTAGGAAGACTGCTGGAAAGTCATGGACTTACGATAAGACTGTCTCTCCCAGCATTGCCGATCATTGCCTTGCCTCAATCTCTTCTCATACAAAGGACTCTTTCTGAGGCAGAACTACAGCACCAGGTTAGGCACTCCCCCAAGAAGAGAACTTCTTTCAGCCATGCCAACAGTTTGTTCCAGGAAACACTCTGATTGGACACATTTAGGTCAAGCGCCCATCCATTGGACCAATTCCTGTTATCAGAAGCATGGCACCCTATGATTGGCCAAGCCTCTCCAGTCATGAGAGAGCAGGGTGATTTGTGGCTCCAAAGAAGTACATAGAATGATTGGAGGGCCATAAAGGAGATGCAATGGGTGTCTTGACAGAAGAGGAAGGGAGAATGCTGGGAGCACACACATACTTGCCCAAAACAAACGACACAAATCCCTCTGAAACCACCAGCATAACAGTAACTTTTCCAGATTCCAAAGTCAGTAACTCCAAGTGAAAAAGAATTTCCGTTATTTTGGCAACTCAGCAATAAGGGTGCACACATCATTGTTGTTATTACCCAGTTATGGAATTATTCATACATGCCAGGCACTGACCTAAGTGCTTTGCACATATTATCTCACTCAGTATGCTGTGAAGTACTTATTATTATTCTCAGGACACAGAGGGGGAAGCTGAGGCTTAGAAAAAGGAAGTGGCTTCTTCAAGCATACACAGCCAGTAACTGTAGGAGCCTGGATGCAAACACAAGGCTCTTATTACAGTGCTATACCTGCTCTACTATAGAGTAAAAACAAATAAGTAGAAGGCTGGAGGCACCCAATTCCCTAATGCTCATGCTCCCTCCAAAAGGATCAAGGGCAAAAGACAACACAGTACAGAACTGAGAACATAGATTTTGAAGTCAGGCAGACTCCCAACTCACCAGTGTGACCTTAGACAAATAACTTATCCTCCCTGGTCTTCAGTTTCCTGATCCATACAATGGGAAGGTAATGCCTATCCCATAACAGTGCTAAGAATAGAGATTACACACATGAATCTCAAAAACATGATGTGTCCCTTCTTCTTCCCTGCTTGTCCTTGAACAAAAGGATACATAAAAGAAAATATCAAAAATGGCCCTGATCACTTGAAAAGGCAAATAAGCCGCTGAATACTGTGCAAGCTCGTCTACAAATAAAAAGCCTTAAACTAACCAATCACTGCCTGTTCTCACCCATAAGTGGGAGTTGAACAATGAGAACACATGGACACAGAGAGGGGAACACAACACACCATGCCCTATCGGAGGGTAGTGGGGTAGGGGAGAGAGAGCATTAGGAGAAATAGCTAATGTAGATGATGGGGTGATGGATGTAGCAAACCACCATGGCACATGTATACCTATGTAACAAACCTGCACATTCTGCACAGGTATCCCAGAGCTTAAAGTATAATTTTTTTTAAAAAGCCTTAAACTAATATACAAGTGAAAAATAATGGTAGCACTTTTTGGTGGCTGGCAACTTTCCTTAAATACAAGTGTCTGCTGTGACTAGGGCTTAGGGAAATGGGAATACTGGTTACTGCTCACTGGGAATCTACTATATACCAGGCACTGTGATGCACGTTTTACATTTGCTATCTCATTTCATTCTCACAGCAGACTTCAGAGCTTCAGGCTTAACAGCTGCTTTAAATCCATCTGTGGCTGACGGGACCATCAACTGGTCAAACATTCACGTGCATACACTTTGCTCCCACAATCCTCTATCTAGAAATTATTCTTAGAGAAATAATCAGACATGCCAACAAAGATTTCTGCACAAGAAGGCTCTTCATATCAGTGTATATCATTTAAAAATTCCAAAACATCCAAACATCCAACTATAGTAAAAATTAAGTTTGTTGTCATCCATCCACAGGATAAGTGTTGAACAGCCTTTAAAATGAAGTTTTGAACTACCTCACTGTTAGCACCATTGCTTCTACAACTCAAGTACTTTGCCTCTGCCACCCACAAATGGAGCTAAGCAGCTGTGCCCTGAACAGAAGATCCCCTATTAAGGGCAGCCCTTAGGCAGCCATGTTTTATATCACATGACCTCCATGGCCACAGTTGATTGGACCTTTGGCAGGCACTGTCCACAAGAGGAGCCAATCCAGGAGCTACCTAGCAGTGGACATCACAGTCTGGCATGAAAAAATGAAGTTGACCAACCAAAGACCACTTTCAAGAATGTGAACTAGGAAATAGGGAAAAATACAACCATTCACTGTAGGAGCATAGCTGGGAATACAATAATGTAGAGTGGTGTAGAGATGGCTGGATAGCCTGGATGGGTCATCCCTAATTTAAAGTTACATTGGCATGGAAATGGATTGGGTACAAATGATGTAAATGGAGTGTAGTGAATGCACAAATTGGTAACCTGCTTTCATCAGGCCAGTAGACATGATTTATTTGGTCACACAATATTTTTTATATAATTTGCACTAGTTAACAACATTTAAAATTAGATAATGTATGAAAAAACTCAAATTTCTGATGCTTTCCCCCAAAGATGAGGAACAGGCTAAACCATATGGGAAGAAAAGACAATGGTGATTGTCCCTGGTGGAGCAGGGGCAGGGAGACACTAGAAAGGTGCATGAAGGAAATTTCTAGGGCAATTATAATTTCTACGTCATGACATCTATTTGGGTTACATAGATACATGTATTTGTCAGAATTTACTAAATGGTATATTTAAAGGATATACACTTCCCCTCTGTATATTTTAACTCCAAAAAGGGAGGGGGGAACTGTAAATCAATATTGGGCTCTAGTTAATGACATGCATGCTGAAGTGTAGAGGTGCAAAGCATACTGATGTCTGCAACATACTTGGAAATGCATCAAAAAATAAAATGAAATCGTAGGTAAATGCAAGGACAGATGAATACTTAAGTGGTAAATCAAGTAGTAAAATATTAATTATAGCATCTCAATTTGAATGTTTTTTTATAACAAAATGAAAAAGTGGCAAATTTCTAGTGGCTGCCCCCTTTAGAGAGGGCAGGTGTTCTCCAGTTTATCACAATCTTCAGCCACTCTTTAATTCCTGTATCAGCCTACTCCACCTATTTATGAGACCTTGCTATATTCCAGTCTGCAACCTCTGAAACAGAGAGTAAAGAAGGCAGCTAGAGAGGTGATAGGAGCTGGTACCCTGATACTAGAGGAGAGATCCGTACCCTCCTGTTCCTAAGGTCCCCATCTTCAAGCATCTCTATCTGCCTTCTAGTTCCTGCCCTTTCAGAAGTCCAGTTGGTCAATGTCAGAGTCTGCCCTCCTCTGGAATCAGAGCCTAAGATGAAAGCTGATACATGAGTTGTTTATTTAGTAGTAAGATTCGCAGGGAGTAAAAGGAGGGACAGAGGAATCAAACAGTAAGAAAGAGTCAGTGCAAAAATGTGTAACTGAGTGTTCCACTGCTGAGGTGACCAGTTGCTCCACTTGTGGCTCTTTCTAGAAGTCTTACAGAATACCTCTGAGAACTAAGGGAAGAATGTATCCCAAGAGATATCTGTTATAATCATCATGGAAGAATTCCATCCATTACCTTCCCAATATCCATTCCTCTCATGGCTTCTCTGCTAACAAATCCTCCCCACCCCCGACTTTTTTTTTCTAGACAGCAGCAGAGATATCTTGATCCCAGCTCCAGAGGGTGAATCATGATTGATTAAATATCTTGTAATAATTTTATATCCTTTCCCCACCAATTTGCCTAAAGATGACCATGGAACCCAATTCCAGTGAATGAAATGTAAGCAAACAACTTCTAGGACAACTTCCAGAAAAACCTTTTGATGTTCTGACAAAGAGAGACATACTAAGTTGGAAGTACCTGAAGCCCATTTCCTCATCTCTCTTCTTTTTACCTGGTACACAGAATTTACGCTTGGAGGTACAGCAGCCACGCTGCAATCAGGAGGTGACAAATGTTATAACACAACAAAGATTCTGTGAATGTTGGAGCAGAAAGGGAGAAAAAGACCAGGTCTCTGACAGCACTGGGTCTGGACTTCTACCTCCGGATTTCATAGGGGAGAAAATAATACCTACTAGTTCAACCCTCTGTAGTCTGCCTTCTATTTGCAGCTAAATCCATGCCTAACATACTCTTGGAATTTCCCAGGTGTTCAAGAACTTACTATCAACCTCCTCCTACGCACCATTCCTTGAAGCACTTGAGCAACCATGGCCTTGTATCCAGAAAAAAAGATAATTAAAGATTTCCCATCTCAATAAATGATCTCAATTTCTGTTTGTTTTGAGTCATGGTCTCGCTCTGTTACCCAAGCTAGAGTGCAGTGGTGCAATCACAGCTCAC